TTTTTCCAGGTGACTTTTACAAAGAGGAAATTTGGGTTAATGAAGAAGGCTTATGAGCTGAGTGTTCTGTGTGACTGTGAGATTGCTCTCATCATCTTCAACAGCACCAACAAACTGTTCCAGTATGCCAGCACTGATATGGACAAAGTGTTGCTGAAGTATACAGAGTACAATGAGCCACATGAGAGTCGAACGAATTCAGATATTGTTGAGGTAAGGTTTGTGTTTTGCCCTGAGAAGTAGATGCTCCACATGAGCAGCGTGATCATCTTTCTTGAGGGCTGTAGATCATACCCTGAGGTGACATAGTGGCAGGAGAGCAGAACAGGACAACAGTGTGTTGGTTGGGGGGGTTGGAAGTAGTGAAACCAAGACTGAAGGGAATCTGTGTCTTTTGTGAGTTTTAAGTTCTGTCCTGCTGAGTCTCACTGAAACTCCTGCAATGAGATCTCTGGCTCCCCGTTGTCCAGCTTTCTGTGCTGCTTTGTCCCATTAGTCCACTCCATGCCTTGACCACTACCTACCAATTGAATCTCCCTCTTGTCTTCTCTCCCAGTGACATCTCTCCAGAAAATATTGCATATCTTGTCTCCACGTTCCAAAAGTTATAATGTTGTCTGTCCAGAAGTAACTGAAAGTACATTGTAAAAGATGTGTAAGAAGATTTAGAAACACTGCTTTAAGACATTCAGTTGACTTTTTAAGCTTTTTAATTATTTACAGAGGAAGGAGGTTTAATAAAATGCAAGAAAGGTTTATGTACAACCTACACAGTAAAAAATGTTTCAGCTACCTCACAGAGAATACTATTACTATAATACAGTGATAGCAATATCAAAGCAATAATGTCAGAATGTTAGAAACACTTTTTAATTATTTTTTTAAAATTATAGAGGACAAATTTTTATACAATTATTGAAAATTATTACAATTTAATATCTTAAATTGTAAACTTCTAATTTTTGCAGAAAAGTCAGTTTACTTTATAATCACATAGGATTCAAGCCAAGCAAAATACATGAAGCCTTCAAAGATTTTGTTGCTATAGCAAAGCACTCAGACTGATACCTAAAAAAATGGGTTATATGACCTATACAACTCCTGTTTTCAAATCACATGAGTGATTACACATCTAATGGTATTATTTAAAAAGTAGTGGAAGGATGAGGTCCTATCTTATACATCAGCGAGTATTTATTTCTGAATACCTTGGCTATGCACTTTGTTTACGTCAGATC